AACTGATAGATCAAAAGAAATTTAAGAGAGAAATAATTCAATTATGATGTATAGACCTTATTTGGATCCTGATTTTAAAATACTGTTTAAATAAAAAGAAATAATCAGTAAAATCTGAAGCCTCTATGCTCCAATTAAAATGTTTTAGTTAAAATTTTTAGGTGTGAGCCTGGTACTCTGAGTGTTTAAAAAGAGTACTTACCGTTTAGGGCTGTATGCAGAAATAGTATGGGTGAAAGATATAATTTGGGGGGTTTGCTTGAAAATAATCTGGGTTAAGAGCAGAGAAAATCAGCAGGGTATGGTTGAAACAAGACTGGTCAGGAGTTAGACCAGTCTCTCTGCTTCTATATTTGAAATTTTCAATAATAAAGGTTTATTTAAAAGCCAACCAGTTACTCACTACAACACTATTTCATTTCTCAGCACATTAATGTCACTATATAGTTTTTAATTACTCATTCTGTGTTGATTGTCTACCGCCCACTAAAATATTAGCTGTATAAGAGAAAGAGCTTAGTCTTCTTTACTGCTATTACCCTCGTGCCTAGCACACTGTCTTGATGAATGTTGCTAAATGAAAAAATAAATAAAACTCCTGGGACTTCCTTTAGAGTTCAAAAAGATTTTGATTCTACCATGGCCAATGAAGCCAGCAGGGCTTACCTTCACTTCAATGAAGTCAGGATTTCCCAGGGATACGAGCTGAGCGTACGCCTGGAGTTCATCTACGTTCCATGCTTTCACGAGCGTCAGTCTATAGACGGTACGTTGTTGCTAAAACAAATGAAAAGCCAACTTTGTTGTTATCTTGGTGGAAGCCACATATTAATCTAGGAGATTGTCAAATTTCTTCACCCCATAGAGAACCCAAGTCCGGTGATACCCAGCATAAATTTTTGTAAATTGAAGCTATATTTTGGGGAAAGATGAAAAAAATCTAAACAATGCAATAAGATTTGCATGTGCCTTATGGAAGGCACATGAGATAGTTTGACAGATTTCTTTTCCTTCCCTCACAATATCTAAAGGTTTCTTGACACAGACACATTGAATTAGATTCAGTAAGGAATGGTAAATTGATCGAATAGTTTAAGGCTATGGAAAATTAATTCAAATAACCTTTAGGCTTTTGAGTAATAATCACTCAAATTGTTAATGGCAAGAATTGTTAATTACCCTTGTCCTCTTTTCAGCGTTCTCATTATTTAATGATCTCTTGGCATTTCTTGCTGGCAGAAAAGGCACAGGTATGGACTTGGTATTGTTTACCATATAACCAGAAAAGGTACTGGCTTTCTGAAAAGCAATTAAGCAGTAAGGCATTAAAGCCTTTAGAAAGCTTATATGCTTTGACTTTGTAGTTCCATTCTAGGACCCAATATAAGTGATTACAAATTCAAAGACATTAAAAAAAATCTCAGAGCAACACTGGTAATGATACCTTAAAATCTGAAGTAAGGCCTTCCTGTTAAGTAGGGGCAGGACCTGTGACTTTCCTTTAAGCAACAGAATATGGCAAAGGTGATGGGCTGTATGTGATTATGTACACATGATTACATGCATCTGTAGCAAGTGCCCAAGTAATAATACCTATGCTTCTAAACCTGAAGCCAGATTTTAAGTAGCAAGGATCAAAATATTTGAGAGGAAAAAAAGTAAAGTGAGAGATGTACAAAATGATACCAATCTCTTTTTTCTATGTGTGAAAACTTCTATCATTAATAAAAAAGAAACACTTGAAATCTTTAATGAAGAAAACTAAGAGATCTTTAATGAAGAGTATTAGGCCGCCATACCAGAAATTGGTATTTTCCAAGCATATTTACTCATATATACTCAAAAGTTCCTCTTAAAAAGCAGTACATAATGCAAGACAGAAATCTTCCAGATTCCCTTGACATAGTTAGAATTCTTCCAATGCCAAAACCTAACAAAAATAGTAGAAAACTGCAGATCAATCTCACTTGTACATATATATGCAAAAATCTTAAAGAAATCTTAGCAAGTAAAATTCAGCACTAAAATTCAGCAGTTAAAAATTTTAGGAATGCAAAGATGATTCTATATTACTATATAGTAATAGAATTCATCACATTAATAGTTCAACACAGAAAAATCATGCAATCATATTCATAGATACCCAAAAGCATTTGATATAGTTTAAAAGCCATCTCTGATTTTAAAACAAAATAAGCAAATCAAAAACCATTTGGTAAATTCAAGAATTAAAAAACACATCTTTAATGTAAATAAAAAAAAAACCCACTCTACAATCAAGAGTAAATGTCATTCTTAGTTAAAAAAAAAAAAATAGAGGCCTTCCCATTTAGTCATACTAACAGAAGAACATCCACTGTTATTTTTAAAGCACCTTCCTGAAAATTATAACCAAAGCAGTAAGGCCAGGACAGGAACTAGTGGAGAATATACAAAAAATAATTAATTGTAAAGAACATAACTGGCTTCTTGGAAAGCTAAGAGAATCAGCTAAAAAAATAGATCAGGGAAAAGTGGCCAGGTGCCAAATAAAAATATAAAAATGAACAGTTTTCCTAGCATGGAGTAGCGAGTTAAAGGTGGACTCTGGGGCCAGATTGAATCCCACACCATGTAGTAGGAATCTTTACCTCTCTGTTTTCACTTCCTACTTGTGTAAAATGGGGGTTGTACATAGGATGAAAAGTGTTAATCCACGTAGCACTTAGAACTAAGCCTGGCAGCAGCATGTCATACCACGTGTTAGCTGTTACATGGCAGCAATGACCAATTACAAAATTCAAGGCAAAGAATATTCTACTTATAATGATAAAATATAACTATAAAATACCTAGTATGTAATTCATGAAATAACATGCAGAACAGTTGAATAAAATAAACTTTTATAAGAGACCTAAATAAAAACTCATCTATATGGAGAGCCATAATGGATTTATAAAAACAACATAATTCCAATGGGAGTTTACAATTTCTCTGAACAAATAAATTGGCAATGATACCAATAATAAAAACAATAGCAGGAGTTAGCAATTAGTCAGCATTTACTATGTGCCAGCTGTTGTTATAAAGTGCTTTCTATCTTGGCAAAGATTCCAGTATTACTCTAATCTTCACACCAAATCTTCCAAACAGATTGGATTATTATCTGAACTTTACAGACATGAAGTTGAGGCCCACAGCTGTTAAGTAAATTGCCCAAAGTTACACAGCTGGAAAGCAGCAAAGCTGGGATGTGAACCCGAGCAGCAGGAATCCAGAGCAGCCTCTCTCACCTCACTAAGGCTTTTAAAACTGTGAGATAAAACACACAAAGAGAAATGTACACAAAACTTAAATGTATAGCTCAAGGGATCATCATAAAATGTCCATCACACAGAGGTCCTCCTGTTCCTCCCAGTCACTATCTACTCTCTTCACCCTAAGAGTATATAATGTCCTGACTTTAACATTTTCGTTTAGTTTTTGCCTGTTTTAAATTTATGTAAGTGGAATTGTATATTCTTTTGTCTGGCTTCTATCACTTAACACTGTGTTTATAAAATTCATCCATGTTGCTGCATGTTGAGGTGCATTCCTTTTCTTTGTTATCTAGTATTTCATTGCATGAATATACAAGTTATTCAGCCATTCCCTGTTGGCATGCATTTTGATTATTTCCAGATTTTAGCTAGTATAAAACAATGCCGTTATCACTTATAAAACCACATTTTAGTTTTGTCTATTTAAGGAAATTATATAAAATCCTATTGTGACATATATTGTTTTGTATTTGGCTTCTTTCAATGAATTTGATGTTTGCGAGATTCATTCATGCTCTTCTATGTAGGTGTAGGAGCTCCAGTGGCGCAATTGGTTAGCACACGATACTTACATGTAGTCGTAGATACAGTTTTATGAACATTTTCCATTGTATAAATATACTGCTAGTGAAGGATGTTTGGGATTCCCCCCCACACACACTTTGGGTCTCTTAAAAAATAACATTGCAGGCTGGGCTCAGTGGCTAACACCTGTAATCCAAACACTTCTGGAGGCCAAGGCAGGAGAATCACTTAAGGCCAGGAGTTCGAGACCAGGCTGGGAAACAGCAAGGCCATCTCTACAAAAAATTAAGAAATTAGTCGGGTGTGATGGTAAGTGCCTGTACTCACAGCCACTTAGAAGGCTCAGATGGGAGGATCGCTTGAGCCCAGGAAATCTAGGCTGCAGTGAGCTACAATAGTGCTACTACACTCCAGCCTGGGCAACAGAGTGAGTGAAACACCATCTCAAAAACAAACAAACACCCAAAAAACCCACTGCTATGAGTATGTACCTGTCTCTTGATGCATAAGTGTACACACATTTTCTAGGATCTACCTAAATATGGAAATGCCTGGTCATAGGCTATGTTTACATTCAACTTTAGCAGATATTGCCAAACTGATTTCCAAAGTCATTCTGCCACACTTCTATCTGCATTGCAACAGGGTTGTTTCTCATCTTTAACAACACTTGGTGTGGCTAGTCTTATCTTTGCTGGATAGAAGAGCTCTGTTATAAATGTATTAGGAATATTTTTATCCACTTTATGGCTTTCTTTTTCACCATGTCTTCTGACCAGCAAAAATTCCTAATTTTAGTACATTCCACTTTATCATTCTTTTGTTTCTTTATTAGTGCTTCTGGTGTCTTTTTAAAGAATCTTTCCATACATCAAGACTATGAAGATAATCTCTTATATTCTTTTCTAGAAGCTTTATTGTTTTGTCATTCACCTTTGTGCCTAAAATCTACCAAAGGTGGTTTTTGTGTATGGTGTTAAGAGGTTAAATTTATTTTCCATATGGATATTCCATTGCAATAAATACGATAAAATCAGTGTCTATGCATGTGAGGGTCTACTTCTGGTTTTTCTTTCCTATTCTGTTCCATTGATCAAATTGTTTATCCTTACCCCAATACCACACACTGTTTTAACTACCACTGCTTTATAGTAAGAACTGATGTCTAGTAGAGATGGTGGTTCTCAACTGGGTCAATTTTGCACCACAGCAGGGGACATTTGGCAACATCTTGAAAAAATGTTTTGCTTTTCACAAATGGGCCAGGTGCTACTGACATCTAGTGGGTAGAAGCCAGGGCTGCTGCTGAATATTGTACAATACATAGGACAGAATCCTTCACCTTTTCCCTACAAAGAATTATC